GTATATATATATATATATATATAAAACCACACCAAAAATAATAGCCTTGGTTCCATAGACATGATGTATATGTAGACTTGTGTTCACATAAAGAGGCACAAATATTGTGGTTCAGTATCTAAACACTGTTTATATTTTGAAGACTCAATAAAATGAGATAGTCCCTTAGTCCCTCTTAATGGACAGTTAGCTCGAAGAGCATTTTTAGCCCCTTAATGGCTGTAACTACTGAAAACCATCTAGAACCTATTCATTGACAGTTTCTCAGGATATAAAGCATTCTTTTCCCGGCTGAACACACAGATTTGCATTCCCATCATAAGGTCAAGAGAAATAAAGGCAATTTTGTAAATAAGTACAATACTCATAGTATGAAGTAAACTCACCAAATAAACATGCAGTTGCAAAAGCCCTTGATGCTTTGTAATCACCTATAGATTCTATACTGGCACCTCCATCAAGAAAGCAATTCCCTGGTCAACAGTACACCTTCCGCTTCACCTCACAGGCAAAGGCTACGGTTAGTCTTTAACTTCTTCCAGCTTATCTGCCTGGAAAACTCCTATTCAGTTTTTTAAATATGAAATTCTTCCTAATTTCATTCATCCTGACAGAGTGAGTTCATTAGAGTCTCCTCTGCTGAGCCATTTTCATTCTTTGAACATATTCTATCATTTTATATCTGTTAGTCTATCTCTTCAGTTGACTTGGGGTTTCTAGTGATCCTGTCATGTTTGTTTAAGTTTCTCCTATCCCTAGCACATAATAAACACTATTCAATGTTGATAAAATTCAAATAAACTCTTCTTCTTTCTACTTTTCTTAAGTCCTGAACTCAGATTAAAAATAAATGCATCCTAATAGTAGTTATGACGTTAGTCAAAGTATATACCAAGGAAATTCATTTTCTCCTTAATAGTTTTTTTTATCTGAACAACACTGTCTAATGCTCAAACAGAGAACCATCTAATTCAGTTTTCTTTTTAAATGAAAATAGAATAAGACAGTTGATGTGACTTGATGCCAAGAAGGTACCATGTGTGCTAACTTACACCTTGCTGGAGGTCGGGTTATTTTGACATCATATAGACACAGCATATTAAGCATTTTATGCCTTAAGTGGATTAACGGCTCATCTTTTGGTTCTACATATCACAGGAAGAAATCTAAAATATATTTTACACCAACTACAAAAGGCTTATGTTCTTCATAAACTCAAAATGTTCAAAAGCAAACTCTTTAATCTTTGTGGTTTAAACCACTTGCATAACTGAATGCATAATTTTTGCAATGTGTAATTAGATTGTTTATTAAGTTGGTGGGTAGATTTGATAGACAGCAATAATATTGTTGGCCTTTGGTAATACCTCATTTCCAGGGATAATTTTGCAAGGCACTATAATGTAGGAGTAAAAACATGAACTCTGGTCAAGGACAACCTGAATATGAATTCTGATCCCACCACTTATCTGCTGAATCACTTGGGTAAGTTTCTAAACTTCACTAAATTTCATATTTCTCTGTAAGTACAACTATATTAGTGCTTAATTCATAGGGTTACCTTTGATGATTACATTAGAAAGTACAACTAGAAGTTTTAGCACAGTACGTGATGCATAGTATAGCTAACAAAATTATATATATTATGTAAACTCCAGATTTACTCAGTTTACTTGTGTTCTAAGAGTAGAACTACAAAGACATTTAGAGCCTGCATAAACTCATACAATTTCTGTGTGTATTTACTATTTATGAAAAATTTGCAATATTTTTAATTGGTTATCACTTTATTGATCAACAAAATTAATTGTTACAAAATCAATTTAAGGACTAAGAATTTCAAGGATTAAGAAAATAAAAATGGCATCATAATTCTGTTTCCCACCTAGTTAAGGAAGAACATTAGGAAAGGCCACCAGGAAGTTCATAAATATTTTTCTAATGACTCCGTCACTGAGTTATGAAAAGCATGCTAGAAAAGGAATGATCATGTTTTCAATGAAAACACCACTTACAGTTATTACAAATTACTGCAGGTGATAATTTACCATTTAGTGTGACTTAGTTTTACAAATCCTCTTGAACAGGCCATTGGGGTCTGGTTTTGACAAAGCTCGGAGGAGGGAAATAGGAAAGCGGGGGCCCCTGGAAGGCCTCGCGCTAAGGGAGGGCCAGCCCGCATCAGCCAGAATGCCGCGGTGGGAAACACCACAGAAAAGTGAACAAGCTGTGTGTCCCCCCCCCCCC